GCCGTCTCGGGCGACAGACTACAAGGGCAAGAACGTCGGCCGAACACTGTGACGAAGAAATGCTATTAGCGGGGCGAAGCAGCAACATGCCGGAAAGGAGATCCCCCAGCCACTGCGGTTTGGTAAACAAACTGAAACGAAACTTCACTCCGTGGCACGGTGAGCAGCTCCTGAGCGCGAACGGCGGAACCGGAAGGAGACGGCACTGGGAATATGAAACACGCAGAAAGGAACTAACTTACGAATTAATACGACGGCTAGCTACTGTTTGCTTTAATGCAGTTTTGAGGGATCGATGTTCTAACAGCAGCAAACGCCCTCACGTCGAGGGAACATGACACAAGTTTACGCGCTACGTCCCTGTAAAATGCGAGTCAGTTGGTCTATCTGCGGAAAATGGAATTTTCTTACAAAAATTATAAGACTACCACGACCGAAACGTCTGCCCATTCCCGGAGCTTTTCCCCTAAAACGGGAGGCGACTCTAATACGACAAAGGCCCCTGGCTTTGTAGACTCACCGCGACACATAAAAGGAGAACAAGAGAGCGTCAATTTTAATCTCTGCTCTAAAAATCACCCATTGGTGACTGCACGCAGGGAACGGAGAGGAGACGAAATGCCACGAGAACGTGCACCAATGTGTTTCAGATTGGCTTCGCCTGGGTTTGAAACGACAATACGCGAAAACACAAATACACCGAATGACGACCGACTTGTTTTCTCAGTCACTAAATTAGTGCCACAGCGCGTGTAGTGCAGGGCCTCTCGACCGACGGGCACTCGATCGGTCGAGTGAGTGTCAGGCGACGCATTCCGCTGTCAAGTCCAGAGACCAACGAGGCGGAGGGGACCGAGTCCTGTCACGACGCAGCGCGGCTACTTTGTTTCTTGGCGACAGTTTCATGATCGAGCGAATCGATCGATTGGCAATGAGTGAGAAGTGCTGAAGTCGATACGAAGTAAGACCTTTCCACAGAATAAGACAGTTTAATTATCGTGTACTCACATGGAACGAACTGGTCACAGGATCCATGTCCAGCAGAGAGTAGTCAGCAATTCGATCTCCGTTTGCGTCAATATTGACTTGACCGGCGAGCCCTGCCAACAAACAAAACAAATAAGGACCGATGTTTTCAAGCAAGCGTGTACAACGGCTGTTGTGCGGAACTGCATTATATTAAAAAAATATAGGAGCAATTTCTGCTAACCTAACCTTTTCGTTGCTTCGAAAATATGTATCCGTAACATTGTCATAATAAATTATTCAAGCGACGGACGGAAACTCATAAAATTCTTTCCTTGTCAAAGACAGAATCCATTACAACTTCAAATTTAGTTATAAGAATTAAATAACGAATCCCATTATTTCCGGTTTATTTAAGGAAATCCTGGACGTGGAACTGACGATTCCATTTCAAATTCGATGCAAGGGAACTGTCCGTGTGGAAGCCGGACAGATTCAGTCGAAAGCTTGGCCGGGGGTTTTCGGGAGGTCTCAGGTTCAAAACTCGGTCCGGACACCAGCTATCCTGACTGGCGTGTTTAACCTAACCACTGCAGTTAACCAGCGGAATAGTACCTCACATTTCAGAACTGTTAACAGCGACAAAGTGGCTGTCGCGTCTCAGGATTTACTGAGGCAAGTGACAACAGAGTTCCATAAAATGGGATCTGCGCTGAAACGAGTCGAGGTGTCCGTTATGGACCATACTTTCTGTACTCCTGGTAACCGCACAGCGCCTCGCTGGCTGACATAAAACACCATTAGGTTCATACCAGTATCATAGCACACACAATACTGAACCTTATAAATTACCGTGTTTCAACGCACGGGACAAATTCAGTTTGGACGATGAGAAGGCATTTATAAATCCAGGGACATTCACAGTCATTCGATAGCGCGTCATGTGACTCAGCAATTTAAAATTCTCATTTTAAGTACTAAATACAAGAGTTGGTGTCCCTGTGCACATATCGATACTCGAACGGTAATCGAAACGCTACACCAAGGCCGTTGGGCCAGCGCAGTTGAAGGAAGATGACGTTGACGTGGAATGCAGGACGCAGGTGAGTGACAAAATATTTGTCGTAAAAGCTGAAGAGAGACCCGGACCAGTAGCTGTAATGATATATAGTGCACTCCGTACGACAAGAATCAAGGAGAGTGTGAACAGAACTTCTCTCTGCAGGCGAGAGAGAGTGATTTATTACTTTCAGCTCCGGTGTTAACGACATCCTGTCCGGTGGATCTCAGGTGGGCGAAACTAATATAAATCACAGAGACGTCAATTAAGTGGCAAAAACGAATGGCCTACTCCTGCCATTTGCAGCGTGGATTTTGCTCTCATCTTTTTGCGTCTGCACGCGAGCGTCTAAACCCGAGATAAAAAGGACCAGACAGGATTCGAAGTCCGTCGGGCTGGCTTCTGCGATTTGACACACGTCGCCCGCGAGCTTTGTGAGGCTTCAGAGAAAATCGGCACTTTTATATCCGACATCGACTCTCTTTCCAAGCGAATTCCGTGGTTGTCTTCAGCTCCTCTCTAAAGGTCATCACCGCCACCTCCCACACCCGCCGTCAAAATAACATCTCTCACACGCCTGCGAGATAGAAACAAGGAGTGCGCACAGAATCTCGACATAAGCTTATAAACGTGGCCGCACGTATTTCATGCAAGTCGGGGGGGGGGGGGGTCTTGTCACACGTAAGCGCCAGGCGTCCCTGCATGTGAGTAATGCATATGTAGAAGCACGTTTTGTTAGACACAAACGCAGTAATTTATCTCAGTTCCATTTCTTCTCGCGTCCCACCCTGGAAGTGCAGTGGTGAGGCGCCTGGTTGCTAGGCGACCACGACTGCTGTTTCGCTGTTTCTCAAGCGACCAGAAAGAAAGAAAGAAAGAAAGAAAACTCGGTGTGAGAATGATTCATAATCACCATTTTCCTGAACACACCACTGTCCTTGTGCAAGCGACATTTCTGGGACTGCGGATCAAACTGGCAGAGGTTGTATTTCGAATGTTAATTTAAAAGCGCGGTAAGGTTTTACAGAACTCTGAAATACCGCATTTAGTCCGATGACGTCACGACCACCGCCTGCCTGCGTTCTGGAGTAACAAACACAAACGATGACACTAAATGGTATTTTAACTGCAACAGCGCATGTGGAACAGGACCTTCAGAGGTACAAAGAAGTCGTCAACTCTCACTTCCACTCCTCTGTAGGTCGTAGCAGTCTGAGCTTTTTCGTTGGCTTGGATGCAATTACTGTTCGCGACTGTAATCTTGAGACTTGCGGGGTGAGGAAGCGGGGTGAAGGAGGAAAGACAGCGTCTGCATTCCTTGCAAGTCTCAAGATTACAGTCGCGAACAGTAATTGCATCCAAGCCAACGAAAAAGCTCAGACTGCTACGACCTACAGAGGAGTGGAAGTGAGAGTTGACGACTTCTTTGTACCTCTGAAGGTCCTGTTCCACATGCGCTGGGTGATGGCTCTGCCGTCCATCTCGGAGCCGCCCTCGTTGAGGGTCTCGTTCAGGGCCAGCGAGTACAGCAGCACCGCGTCGTAGAACGCCGTCACGAAGGTGGACACCGATTGGTTGTTGAATCTGTCGCCCGCCAACCGCATCACCTCTTCCGAGAAGGCGCGGTACTCGGAGTTGTCGGGGGTGGAGGCAGTCACCGTCAGCAGGGCGCTGAACGCCTTCCTGGCGCGTTCGTTGCGCTCCGGGGTGTCCTCAGGCACCTCCCAGGGCTTCATGCTGCCCTCGCTACTGCGGACACGCAAGACAAGACAAGGCCTCACGTCATCTCTTAGAACTACCAGCTACCGGCGCAAATGCGAAGCAGTCAGGGAAATTGCCTCGCCCCAGACAGTTAATCAAGACCAAGGTCGCGGCACAGCGTGTACCTGTCCGAGGAGAGAAGTCTGCAATGGGTCTTCAGCTAAGATTCACGAAAGCAAATGAAGGAAGCATTTTCCGACGGCGTGCGTCCGAAGTCCAGCGGTCGCTCGCACGACGCCTTGATCGGCACAAACACTCACTTCCTGCGTCTCTCGACTTGTATTTAGGAGCGCCTAAAGGCGCAGGTCGACGGTCGTGGCATATTTCAATGCAGTGTCCCCACACGCGCCTGGCTGTACAAGCAGCCAGGACCGCGTTCTTCTGGGTTGTGACGACAGATGCCAACGACTCGGTGACGAGCAGGATCTCCGTCCGAAACGATGATCTCTACAGACGATCCCACGAGACGTCACAAACCAGAGGAACAACGTACACATGTTCCCTGACGCGAGTCTTCACCGCGATTAAGTTCTGTGACGAGGAAAGTAAACGCTCCCCCCGTATTTTAATGAGTGTCGAGGGTTCAGCACTGCAACAGTCCTACAAAGGTACGATCGTCGGTCTGAGTCAACGGGACAGCTGAAACACAGGAAGCCTTCGCCCACGCGGAGTAGCTGCACGGTCTCCAAATCCACGACGTCCCAGGCCATCGCGAAGTTCCGATGCGCAAGAAACTGCCTTCCTTCTTGGAAGGAAACAGCAAAAGCCGAGCAGGAACGAGGGAGAAACTTTTAATGCAGTTTCCTGCTGGGGATCCATTAAAAAAATCCCAGTTGTATTCGACCTCCGCTTCTCTGTAACTAGTGAGAACGAACGTCAAAAAGTAGCAGATGACTTGGGCGACTTAGCCGTAGATGGGATAATAATATTAAAATCGACTGAAAAGAAACATCGTCAGTTGGATTCGCCTGGACCGGTGGCGGGCTCTCGTGAGTACGGTAGCGAACCTCCAGTTTCCACAAAAGGCGGAGAATTTCTTGAGTGCCACACGACCCGCCCAGATTTGTTGGCCCAAATAACATTTTGTTAGCAGCACCGATAATGAAGCTCCTGACTGTGTAATTTTCTCCACACTCGTTATCACCACGTACTTCGTGGCGAAACAGACGAGCATCGCTGATGAACTGAAGGTGCAGGACCGCGTGCACGGGGCTGCGTTCTTTTGTTATCGTAACAACTGATGCTCGTAGTATCGGTAATTTGCTCCGAGTCTTTTAAACATTTTGTCAAGAAAAACCTCGTGTTAGGTTAGCACGGAGTTCCCGCAGTGCGTCTGCGAGACAGCGCTTTGAAATAGGCCACGACGCGTCTCTCCATGTGACAGCAGGACAGAACAGAGGAGCGGCCGGGGGAGGCCAGGGTACTCACCTGCTGAAGAGCTCGATATTGAAGAAGACGTACTCCCCACTGTCCACCATGTTGAGTTCCTCAGCAGCCAACAGGATCTCCCGCACGGTGCTCGGGTTAGCGCAGACCACCACGACTGCAAGTGAAGGGACACAGCGTGAGGCAGGCGGCAACTTACTAAATGGCTGGCTCAAAGTACAGCGTCACTGATCTCCTTCTCTACACCTATACGGTAGAACTGGAAGTAGACGACCTCGGTGAACACTGAAGCCGCACGGTGTTGCTAGCGAAATGCGGTGAATTCCTGACATCATTTCACCTCGCCAGTGGTCGTGACGGAACTTCAGTGTTACAGAGACGAAGTTTAAGACTTCAGCGAGGAGCGTCCCGGGTCCCAGCTTCTATGAACTGCACAATACATTTCACAACGCCCTTTACATAAGCAAATGAATTACAATTAGCACTGGAACTCCTCCCAAAACCAATATTTACACCCTCTCATGTCACACCTGACACATGTCCGTTCTCATCCGCACGAACACCACGCGGCCTGACTTCGTCAGAGCGTCTTCGCTCTGCGGGTAATGAGTGAACCAGGCGGAGTACGACGTTCCAACCTGCTTGAGCCTGCAGTGGGCACAACCAGCTAACAGAGCGGTGCTTTCTTCATACGGAACACCGAGTTTCGAACCCGATTCTGTTAATAGACACAAAGTCCAGCAGAGCGGCACAAGGTTGTTGGTTCGATAGATCGAACGATAACAGTCCGACCGGAAGAGCATCCTTTCAGACGTCCTCTGGTCCAATACCAACCGACAAAACACGGTAATAACGGGAACAGTGCTCGGCAGCGGCAGACTCGCCGGCCACCTGCTTCGAACACCAATTAGCCTGCCCTCTACAGTAGGCAGTTTCATTACGAGACCAAATGAACGTATCTGAAACGAAAACGTCACACCAACCCAGCGGACAGACACGCTCATCTGGTTAAGATTAATCCCGCGCTTCTACGGAACCCGAAGGTTCATCGCCGTGTTCACAAAAATCCGCCTCTAGTTCCTGTCATGAGCCAAGTGAAACCAGTTCACACAGTTAAAACCTATTTCCTTACGGTCCATTTTAATATTATCATATTTTCGTATTTTCCGACTACAATTTTGTCTGCGTCTTTCATTACTCTTTGTAATCGAGGCATGAGAAATTAAAACAAGCGATAATTACGAAAACAGGAGGTAATCGAGGCATGAGAAATTAAAACAAGTGATAATTACGAAAACAGGAGTTTCAAAACATCGTATCTCAAAAGAGAGAGAGCAGAGCGTCTTGTGTGCAAATCCTTGGCATATGAAAACATTCCATCGCTTGCAAATTCATGGACAGAAAATACGATCGCTTAGAGCAGGCCAATCTGAAAGAATTACTTTTGCCTCCCGAACGTAAATTGATTCTCCCGGCTGGAACCAACTCCCGTATAATTGGACTCCACGAAGCAACGAGAGCACAAACGCGAATGCAATGGAACACAGCACGGAATTACGCCACATTTAAAATTCAAACAGCGAAAAACTCGTAGCGCGGTTACGTAGCCTTTCGATGAAGTCAGATGGACAACTGGACAGAAATGAGGGTCTGTCATCACAACAAACGGAAAGCGTGTTAATATAATGACTGAGAAAGACCGCGGGCTGTGAAGTGAAAATACTCGAAAGGGGATGTTGTAACGCAGCTCGAAATTACAGAATGAAACAACTGGCTTCAGCGAAGTCTGACCTGAGTCAACACTCCTCTATTTCCATCGCGAGCTTCTGCTGAAATAACTGGAGAAGCAGCAACTACGTGTTTCCATTCAGAACCGCCTATTTTATTAGATCACAGGAAGAAAATCGATGACACAGCTGCAGGTAGTCTTCGATCCCGAGCCGTAGCGAACGTTTGTACAAACGAACTAAAAAAATCCGGTGATGCAATCTTTTTTTGTCGAGTATTTATTTATATAAATTTTTAAAAAAGTGTTTTTAATTTGAAATTACCTCTCATAAATTAATTTTCAAAGGACTCGACATTCTTCATAAAACTCTCTGGCATCACAAATTCTTGTCCCTCGTCGAGTAGTTTCATGCGTACGGACAGACGGACGAAGCAAGAAGATGGAGGCAGTATGTTCTTCCGAAACGCTGCAAACCAGAATAACGAAAGCCACACTCCACTGGTAACAAAGAAAAGTACAGAGCACAGAACGTGCCATGCGCGCACGTAAATGGGCGTTTGCTGTCGAAATTTGATAACGCGGTCAGCTGCAGTGACCCCTCATTTATTTTTGGAACAGCTCAATGGTTTACAGCGAGTGCAAGGAATCTCGCGTCGAAGAAACCGCGATCGCTTGAGAGCAAGAAAGGCACCGCCGAGAACGCTCGGACCGTGGGGGATGAAGTGACGGGAGACTGAAGAAAACCGCGCAACGAGGAGCTTCGTAATTTCCACTGTCCATCAAATATTATTAGGATGATCAAATTGAGGAGAATGGGATGGGATGGGTGGGGCATGTAGCGCGCAGGGAGATGAGAAATACGTACACAATTTTAGTTCGAA